ATTCTGTTATTGGATTTTGATAATTTTAGGCTTGTTAAAAAGTCTCTTTGAGACAGACATTTTGGTGGTAAAATTACTCAAAATGGATTACTGAGACAAAAGTTATTTAATATTAAATTTTAAAAATTTTTGATTTTTTAATTTTTTTTTAGCCAATTAAAATTATTTATTATTAGAACCTGATAATTTTCTAAGACTCTCCTACTCTAAAAATCAGGTGATAAATGGCGCTCTCCTAACAAATTAGTATTATTATTGTTAAAGCTCTCAGTATAAACAATGTGCATATTGATATGCCTCCAATATAATATAGTAAAGCTCCAGAAAGTGTGCTTTTATATTAAACAAAATTTATAAAAGTGAAGCACCAGTTGAAATAAAAAAAAAAAAAGCCCATTTATATTATAAAAAAAAATTTGTTATATTAGTTAATAGAAACTAAAAATCATAGTCTCTGTTCAATAAATGATTATAGATTTACTAGTGTTAGATTTTGTATAATTACAGAACTTGTATATAGAAAGTGTGATAAAAAACAAATACTAAAATTATATTCTTATCTTAAAGTTAATCAACAACTTTGCTACTCTCACTACTGCAGAATTATAGAGCCTGACAGAGGTCAGAAGAAGTATAAAGTAAAAAAATAAATTTGCAAAATAATACTAAATTGGTAGGAACCACAAACTCGATAGCAACTACCTTAGTAATAACTATTACAAACCCAGTATCAATTGCAACAAACTCAGTAGCAACTACTTTAAACTCAATTATAAACACTTTAGATATATTAGCATGTTTTAATAATGAATTGGCTAAAAATATTTTGAATCTAATAGCAAGCCTTTCAAATGTAGCAACAAATTAGCAACAATAGTTTTCTAGAGAGATAGAACCAATAAAACTTGAATTAAATAATAATGATTCAAGTAATCAAATACTTTGTATTAAGAATTATTACTTATTTATTTATTTATTTATCTATAATTAAATTAATTAAATTTTAGATTTTGTAT